ACATACATAATAATATAATAATATATGTGTGTGTGTGTGTGTGTGTGTGTGTGTGTGTGTGTGTGTGTGTGTGTGTGTGTGTGTGTATATATATATATTATATAATTATGTATGTATGCATACCTACAGGTACTCGATATATGGTTTAACAATACTCACAGGTTCGAATGCAAAACTCGCGCATCGCCACAGAAAGCATACTGTTTTTATACATACACACAACATTCTGATTAACTACATGTGTGCCTATATTTTAGTACTGTATAGCCCAAATACAACTGTTATTAAGTACAATCACTTACCAGTGCGCAGACGCGACTCCTCTACACCCACAGGATCAATGCGATCCAAATCAGGCGAAAGCTGAGCCATGAGCATGGGGAACAGCACCTCCTGGAACAGAGACTCCCACTGCTCGTGCTATGTATGAGAACGTTCGGCAAAGTGAGCAAGTAATATGCCATACATCAAGACATAGGTGAAATAGCCTCACTGGTATCTATACATGCTTATGAAACTTTGTACGATCAAAGGTTAAAACTATAATTAAAGGCGGAAGATTTATATGCTGAGATTTTTGGGTCTTGACATAGTGTTTAATGTAAATCCCCTTGATTCCATCTGACTACTACCTTTAAAATAATATAAATGCCTGAGCCTATACACTAATCAACATAAAAGCATCTAGACATGCTGTTCACCACCGAAATGTCCGCAATATATGATCGTGTATGCATACATTTCATACATATTTACTGATGAGGACAACCTACATATGATCACGGTGGCAGCATAAGAATACCACATCAAATGATCATTTGATGCGTCCTAGTTTTATATAAATATATATATATATATACATATATACATATATACATATATACATATATACATATATACATATATATATATATATATATATAAATATATATATATACGCACACATACATACATACACACATACATACATACTTACATACATACATACATACATACATACATACATACATACATACATACATACATACATACATACATACATACATACATACATACATACATACATATATACATACATAC